TTTATTTTTTATTATTTATTAATTTATTTGCATGAACTTTGTGATTCTTCCATTTCTTACATTTTATTCTATGGCAGGCGCAGGATATCCGACCAGATGGCAGACAGTTTTTAGCATTTCGCCCAGCAAGCGTCAATGTCCGTTCTATTACTCAAGCTGATGGTTCCGCTATTTTTAAAATTGGCAATTCAACCGTGGTCTGCGGAATAAAAGCCGTAAATGAAGAAACAGACATTTTTTGTTTTAATCGTGTTATCTGTGATTTAACAAAGGGTTTTTATAGGAACTAACTACTCCAAAGGCAGAAACTCCTGATCGTGGATATGTTGTACCAAATGTTGAATTACCGCCACTTTGTTCGCCAAAGTTTCGGCCAGGTCCACCATCCGATCAAGCGCAAATCATCACAAAGCTGATAGACAGTGTTCTAGTTGACTCTTCAGTTCTAGACTTCAAAGATCTTTGTATTTGTAAAGACAAACTTGTGTGGGTGTTGTATTGTGACCTTGTGTGCATCGACTACGATGGTTCGATAACAGATGCATGTATTGGTGCCCTAGTTTCTGCTCTGAAAACATGTAAGCTCATTCTTTATTATGTTTCTCTTATTTCGTACTAAATTTCTAATAGTGAGTATTTATAAAAATCATTACTTTTGCTACAGTAACTTTACCTGAAGTGTCATACAATTCCGAGACTGGATCTACGATTGTACATCCTGTTAACCGTAAAGCATTTCCAGTTCAGAAATCGCCTGTTAGTACAACATTTGCAATCTTTGATGAGTGAGTTTTTATTTTATAATATCTATGTTTAACTGCCAAATTGTATTCACATTTGTTAAACTGTAACAAATATTTCCAGTCAGCTTTTAGTTGCCGATCCCACCGAAGAAGAGGAAACCTTATCATTAGGTCGAATAATTATAGTTACAAATGAACAAGACTTATGTTGTATATATAAGCCAGGTATATGTTGAATATTTGCATTTCCTTTTATTCTTCAAAAAATAATAATGAAGTAATCACTTATTCACATCTATTTATAATATTGTTTACGTTGCACTTTACAGGAGGTATACCTACATCGCAAGACATCTTATTGGAAAGTTTATCGAAAGCGAAGAAAAGGGCCGAGCTTATTAGAAAACTCATTAACTCAGCAATCTCGGCAACATAGGAGTGGAAAGTGATTGTTTATTCAACATATAAGTGCATCAATTAAATAATCGTCATAATAGCCATATCAATGACTTTTTAGGCCTGTACAAATATCAGTCTGTGGTTTTGACCATTGATACTTCTCAACTCTGTGTATTATTATTAAGACATACGTGGATCGTTTTTTCCTCAGAATACATAAAATTAGATTTTTACGTACAATATACAGAAATAAAGTGACTTTTCTTAACATACACGTCGCATGCATTACAATTGCATTTGACCATCGTTACAAATAGGAATAAATGTTTTTTATAGGAAAGCTGACTAGCACACAGTAAAGTACCAATAGAAAAAAATCTTGGTTTCCAGTTAAGAGCTCGATTAACTGATCATGTCATTTGGAGACAATACTTTGACGCCTATACCTTAATACAAGCACGTTTTCTTCATGATATGCAAGAACTCCTCTTGTGAGATTTCACCGTCACCATCTCGGTCTGCCTCGTCGATCATTTCTTGCAGTTCCTCGTCGGTGAGATTCTCTCCCAGTTCTCCAGCCACTCGTTTCAAGTTTTTGAATGATATCTTCCCCGTATCGTCGTCATCAAAGAGTCTAAAGGCTTTCAAGATCTCTTCTTTAGAGTCCTTCTCGGCCATTTTCTCAGAAAGGATATTCATAAATTCCTCAAAGGAGAGTTTACCGAGACCATCCGGATCAACATCGGCAATTAACTTTTTAATCTCCTCCTTCTTAGGCTCGAAACCAAGTGCTCTCATCGCTACTTTAAGCTCTTTCGTAGCTATCTTTCCAGTTCCGTCAGGATCAAACAAATCGAAAGCCTCCTTGATGTCCACTTTCTGTTCCTCCGTAAGTTCAAACTTCGTGGCACTTTTTTTCCGTGCTCCTCCGCCGATCTGCTTCTTATAATTTGAAGTCTGTAATATAGGGGATCTCTAAGTAAATCTACGATTAAACTTCAGTTCTTAAAACAATTACAAAGTGGCCATACCATGTTTTCATTTAGTTGGAACTCTTCAGCTTCCCCAAACGACGCCGTAACATTTAGCACAGAATTTCTTCTCTGAATTCCCTCAGAATTCACAGGCTCGCTTCGTTTGTTGCCATGGTAATTAATCCAATATTACTCTACGAAGACACGAAACGACGAACCCCTTTTATTTCGTTCCTTCTAGAATTCTTGTTAGGTTAGGTCTGGCACAGCCATACCTCGACCGTCACAAATTTACCTCCTCGTAAATAAAACCAATACTCTTATTATCAACATACAAATCTAATTAAACTAATCCCGCCTTGCCATTACAAATGCATGATATCAACGGAATATATTTGTAGATTTATCGATCTTCACACGTTTAAACGTAAAGCATCTTTATACGAACAGAGACATCTCTGATACGAACTGAATCGCACCTACAATAGTTAGATCGCCGATCGCTAGATGGCGCCACATTCTCGAATTTCGTTGCGAATCGCATCTATTTGAAATCATAAAATGGCCGCGACTTGCAAGCAAGGAAAGAGTAAAGTAAATTTAATTTCTCGTAACAGTTGCTGTGCAAAGTGTAAATTGACAAAATTAGCAGTGATTCGACCACCGATCCCTCGAGTTTCATCCTTCCAGGTATGGAATCTCTAAATTAAAGAAACTTGACCCGGCAAATCGGTTTTTATATGCAAATTGCCCGGTACAAATAATACGCGATCAAGAAGTTCACTTTCAAAAGGTGAAAATTGCTTCATCGACCCAATTTCGATGACGAATACAGTCGTGGGCGATAATGTTGCAATTGCCCGTCCTAAAAAAGTACGGAAAACAAGTTTTCGATACGAATTTAAGCACATCAAAACTGTGCTACTTTATACCAGAATAATTAGGTAAATGCCGATACAGGTATTGATTATTTTATATCAAAGGCAATTGTTTATACTTGGTAGTCGCCGTTATCGTTTCTCTCATTTCGAACCAGCATTCGGAATCTGATAACATTTCTGTCAATATCAGTTTCCTGTAATCAGAACTTGTCAAGAATTACCGGCCACCAGTTGCATCCAAGGTAAGTGATCAACAGAAAATAAATTATAGAAAATATATAAGTACAACATTAACATGCCAGGAGCCTGTAAAAACTATTTTCGTCGCTATCAAAACTTTCGCAGATAACAATTGAGCTATTGATTAAATCCACTCGAGGATGGGCGTTAGATATATCCAATATTAACTGATAAGATCCCAGATTTATATATTCTTTCAGATATCCGAAACTGTGAAATTTCTCTGAAATTCCCTTAACGTGCCCAGGCTGAATAAATTTCCTCTTAAACTGGTCCCCAGGTTTATCCAGTGGACCTGAAAGAGGGAAAAATATCTCTTATCAAGCCCAGGTATTACCTCACGCACATGCGCATATCCGTAATTACAAATCTCTCCGTTACTTAATCCTTCCAATGCATGAGCTTGGAATTAAAGTGGCCATTTTATTTAACGCTAATAGAAAAATCTGGGCCGTTAAAGGCGAACGATCGAGTTTTGAGGAACTTTCGCGCGATCGCAAACCTGTCCCCAGGTGGGAAAAAAGATGTTTCTTTCATTGACAGTCGGCCCCCGTTGTCGAGAGACTCGGTAACTCTTACTTTCACATCGTCCGCGATCCGATCCGCAGGTGAGTGGTGCGCGAGTCGAGTTCCCATAGAGTCGACCTGGAGTTGGTTCCCATCGGTCCTTTAACCCGACTCGTCAACCTGTCGGCATTGTCAATAGTCCTAACTCACCTGCGACATTTACATATTTCATAACCAGGAGTAGGTCAATTAAACGTCCCTTCCCTATCGAAGAAGTTACATTGAAACTCGAGATTCTGCTCCGCCTCGTGCATCGAGAAATATCGGAAAATCCCAAATTCTGTCAAGATAATTCCATAATTTTTAATATTGGATTTTTTACTCCTAATGCGATGTTCATTGTCAGGTAGTGAATTCGGTAATAATTAAATTTACGCGCCAGTGGAATTTAATATGTGATATACGTGAAATTTGCGTGCCAGTGGAATTTAATTCTGGTTTAATACATGATATGATACAGTGCTTCGTTCACAAGTGTAGAGATGTATTAAGATAGTTAATATCGTCGCTGTTATCTTGGCTTCTTGCAAATCCACTCGTATTTATTTTCGTTTCTTACAAACTCTCTGGTAATATCGGGATCCAAAGAAAAAATCTAAGAGAACGGACCGGTTCGTTCGCATACTTGAGAGAAGATAGTTAAGTTGATCCTCACGACTACGTTAGTCACGGTGTCATAAACTTGAGTACAACTTCGTTGTGTACTGCGATTAAACGTTCTCTGGTAGTGTCTGATAATTCTTTCAGCGCTCCATCACGTCGAGGTAAACCCGTTAGAATTATAATACCAATTATATCTATTTTTAAAATCGTTAGCTTGCAACCTCGCATGGAGCAGAGATGATGGCAGAATCCTATTGTTCTTACGAAGATTTGCGTTCCGATGAAGCCTGCGTTTTACTTCACAAGGGGCCTGATATTTTGGAAGCATGGCTTTACTCTTTGTCATCCGATTGCCAGTCGGTAAATACATAGATAATTAATGTCTAATAATTATTCGCGAAATGCAATATTCAAAATAGTCGCAATACACTCGTGGATCTTCTGTTCTATTTGATAATAGTTTCTCGATGGCAGAATTATTAGAAATAATGCGGAATGATTTATTTTTAGTGCCCTTTCTCTCGAGTTGCACGATTCTCAGATCAGGGAGATACAAGTGTGAAGTTTGACACCGCGACTCAAAAAATTTGGAGAGTCTACGGAAATGGCGAGATTAAGCACATTTCTGCGTTGAATAGAAGGTTTGCAAAGACTCTTAACAGAGTGGAAATGTTTTATTAGAATTTAAAAGTTGATAGCAAGCGGATGCAAAATATTAAAATTTCTATCGACTTTTACATGGATACCCTATATAATTAGATGTAACCAACTCTAAAATTGTTACTCGATTTCTTTAGTAATTTACTATGCGAGACGGTCCCCAAATTGTGCCAATTTGGCACGTACAAACTCGATGTCAATAACGATAGCTGCCAAGTCACCACAATTGAACAACCAACGGATCCATACATACGTAAATAAATGTTATTAACATTAAAAATGATCTGATATCCAACATTAATCACACTAAATTGAAGTGAACGATTAATGTAGCTTTGATTTAATGACAATCCTGAGATACATTTTTAATACTCATTGACAGCTCTCCTGATCGCATTCAGTGCTATCGCGATTTTCCTGTTCGGTTTCTCTCTCGTACGAATAATCGCTAATTTGCTGAAAAAACGATTTCGGAAACAAGTAGAGTCCGAGGAACCCAACAAGAGCACCGGAAAACCAAGAATCAGATCCATCGATACATTTAGAGGGCAAGTTAATTGAATATTGGAACGTTAAAATGAAAATCCTTAAAAGCCACTTTCACATCCCCTTAACCTGCAGGATCAGTATATTATTTATGATTTTCGTCAACGATGGAGCCGGAGGATATTATATCTTGAAACACGCCGTTTGGAATGGCTTGCTCATTGGCGATTTGATTTTCCCGTGTTTTGTATGGATCATGGGAGTGTGCATTCCCATGTCGATTTCTTCCCAACTTTCTCGTGACACTTCTCGACTGTCGATCGTTGCACGTATCTTAGAGGTGAACAATTTTCGGTTTATTTCTGTTTTCCATCCTCCTATTATTTCCAGCAATTAACATATTTTTATACTATTTGCTTCAGCGAAGTATTTATCTCTTCGTTATTGGAGTGTCGCTAAACACGCTAGGCACGGATGCGCAGTTGGAAAAAATTCGCATATTCGGCGTACTTCAACGATTTGGTATCGCATATTTAATAACTGCTTTATTGTACACCCTGACGACACGTCGCAATGTCGAGGAAGCCAAGGTAAACCTTTGTGACCCGGAATTAATTAAGTCAATACAGTTTTCGTAATTATTTTAGTAATTCGATTTGTACAATCAACAGGATTTATTATGGTTTATTAATTTTAGAGTCCGATAATTCGGGGATTAGGCGACATCGTGACTCTTCTTCCGCAGTGGATCTTGATGTTAATAATTATTGGCGTCCACACTGGCTTAACATTTTATCTGCCAGTTCCTGGTTGTCCGACGTACGTAAATGCCAAGAACCTTTTTTTAATTCTAGATACAGTAAATTGTAGATCATTAATTAGAGGCTCTACTAGGGAATAAAAGTATGTCGATGTTGGTTTTGGCAAATTCGCTTCGGTTTCAGTGGTTATTTGGGTCCTGGAGGTCGACACGAAGACGGAAGGTATTCCGAATGCGATGGTGGAGCTACAGGATACATTGATAGATTTTTGTTAGGCAGAGATCATCTTTACCAATTTGCGGAAATTCAGCAGGTTTACGGATCGGGTCCCTTTGATCCCGAAGGAATACTGGGTACGGCGATAAACTTGAAACAAAAATCATTAAAATTCTGAGAGCGTCATTTTGAACGAAATCCTTTTGTCCATTGAGTAGTTAAAGCTGAGTATCTTTTCCAGGCTGCCTCACATCGATTTTCCAAACTTTTTTGGGCGTCCAGGCTGGGAAGATAATAATCACCTACAAGGACGGGAGAAATCGGATGATCCGATTATTAATCTGGGCTATTATTTGCGGATGCATCGGTTCTGCTCTTCATTTCAGTGGAGCGATCCCTGTCAATAAAAACTTGTGGCAAGTTTCAGAATCCTAACTTAAGTGATTTAAATAATTTGTATGTTAGAATTTCCCTAGAATCGACAATTTTTCGTGCACAGGTCTTTATCATTCGTATTCACCACCAGCTGCTTTGCGTTTGCACTGTTTGCAGTGTGTTACTTTTTTGTGGATGCTGTCAGTATCTGGAGAGGTGGTCCATTCCGAATTCCAGGTTCGCATACACTGATAAAAATGCCAAAACTTACTCCAAGGTACTCAAAAATAATTTATGCATATCTTTATCACTCAGGAATGAACGCTCTGGTGATGTACATCGGTCATTACTTGTGTTACCAAATTTTCCCATTTCACTGGAAGTATGGTAAAATGGCCACCCATGAATGGCAGCTGGGTGAAGCTTTATGGGGTGTTTCTCTGTGGACCCTAGTAGCATACATTCTTCACCGTAAACGGATGTATCTAACACTGTAAATCAATGAAAATGCTGCATAAAATGCGAAACGGCTCTTAACATTACACATCGAGCCGTTACAAAGTAGAAATAGAGTTTAGTTTAATTATACATTTTTTAGGAAGCGTCTGTAAATAGTTTTAACATCTCGAAACATAACAAAACCCTGTGCACTTGTTTCGCAAGGTATTTCGGTATCGAAATCGTTCTTCATTCCCTCGTATACAATATTTAAATTGTACACAATTACCGAGTTCGTCCTTGAAATAATTAAAATACAAATGAGAATCTCCCCGAATGAAAACTGAGCTAAATTCTACCAATTACTTTATTACGTACAAGCAGTTATTACAATTCTCTCTTTGTTAACATTATGTAATAATCGTGTCATGAACGTAGGAAGTGATCATGTGATATTTAGTCGAGTCGTGCTAGAAGGTGATACGAATGAGTGATTTGTCGAAGGATGTCTTCGCATCCCCAGGACACCCCGAAGATATTCTAATGGCGCTCTTAAAACTGCTTTCAATTAAAGCCACTCCAATCGATCACCAATTGACTTCACGTTGGTCAAGGAGGAAATTATTGACTGCAATTGAATTTTAGTAAAATAGATCACTTTTAGTCAAAAGCAGTCTTCAGAGAGTCGTGTGCTTCGGACATCGAGTAAGGCTCGCAGGACCTCCGTCTTTTCAATTATCTATTAATTTATTTATAAGTCGCTACGAGAGACAAGTGTCGAAACGATCGACGCGTCTCGTATTAAAGTACATGCTCGACTTTATTTCTGTATAAATTGTTCGGTACACCTCTCGTCGAGGAAAATACACGCGGTGCTTAATGGTGATACGTCGAGATGAAATCAAAATGCTATTTATCTACAAAGTGTCTAGAAACGTGCCCCGCAAGGTGAATTTCGATCACGTAGAAAAGAGAAGTGTACGTCCAAACTTTGGACCGTCTTGTAATATTGTAATTGCAAAGGAGCTTGACACATCTTAACGAATCCCTGTCCCAGTTTCTCAGAGTCGGTTTTATAATCACGAAGAGTCTATACAAAAATGACTTGTACAGAAATATACACTGGAGAGGTCTCCGAGGACCTTGAATCGCTTCGATGATGATCGGTAGACGATATTCTACAAATGTACCTATATCCATTAACTACTTCAATGATTTCTGATATATTTGGATGGATTTACAATATTTTCTAAAAGCCTTTCTGTCGTCAGTTGTCCCAGAATTCTTGGTAGACCGTGTTACGATAAGAGCATTACTTCATCTTCTAATACGTCAATGATATTTAACTTTGAGGTCGATTACTAGATCCCACTTTAACAGCTTTCGACAGAATCCCTCGAACACTTCGTTAGCATGTTTCGCGATGGTTGCTTAGTCTATGTACAAAACCATCGCTTGGTCGTTTCTCATAGAGAATCGCTTAGAGTTAGAACGAATTATGACCTAATGTTTTACGCTTTGGAAGTGTCATGCATCCCTAAATGGAAGTTCTATCTGAATGGGATTCACTCATACGTCAAAATGACGCGTTAAAAATATTGTCACGGTTAAATCTCTCTTCGGAAAACTCGATCGAGGTAACGAGGTCCAGAAAAACCTCCGGAGCCTTCTCGAATTCTCAAGCGGGAACGAACGTTGTTTGAAATTAGATTAAAATTACAAATTAGTCGATCAATGACAATTAATTATGAGGACGAAGTCTCATACACTTATCAGAGCTTTAAAATGTCTATAATCGTTTTCCAGACGATATGACAGAAGAAATGATAAAAGAAATTTAGTAAGAAAAATCGGATAGCATGAAACAGCCTAAGAAGTTGTTCCCACTTTTTCTTTCGTTGTAAAGAAAATGTTTTATGGTCATGTTGACCCTTTAAAGTATACCCAATGTATGCATGTACTCCCAGCTCAATGAAGTTCTGCGTTCTCTGTGGATGAGGGTAACGCCGTTAATTTCTTCTCGTTATATATATCGGTACTTAAAAAAATATTACGTTCAGGTGTGTCTATGACTCCTTTTTCTCTGCATCTGAGAACGTTGGAAAGATTAATTTTATATACTTATATGCGAAGAAAACTGCGGGGAACTCGACGAGCTGTACAGTACACACGTTTTAGGTCAAACAGATTCTGACTAACCGAAAGTTGGAATTTAAATATTCATGATATTTCGTTGAGTTCCATCGATCAATGTACACATAACTCTTTGTGGAAAATCTCTAGTATCGCTATTTAAGGCTCGTACGTAATGACGCAATTAGTTTATTGCAATATTCACTTCGACAGTCACACACGCGGGGAGACAATCTTCTATGCTAAACGTGAATGCGCTAATATATACAAAGCGACTTACATTACCGATCCTTAAACACTAATCCGATACATCGCCGTAATTTGTTTAACGTTAAGCGAAATCATTTGTTAACACATGAGTAGGGAGTGTACGTTACAGTTTAAGTGTCCGGCTATTGTTGTAGACGTTTAAGTCATACGTTATACTCGTAAGATTACTCTTCTAGCGTGGTATATGATTTTTTTTCTTTTTTTCTTCCAACATTTATACAATTCTATCATTAAGAAATGTAGAAAGGTAGTAAATGCTCGAGTCAGTCTGAACGAGCGATCGGGTTTCGTTTAACGGATCTTAATTCTTGACAAAAGTTCATGTCGATTAATCACTCACACTTAAAATATTCGCGGATGCACATGAACAATGTGAACATTTGTTACGTGTGATTTACTTTCGGAGGGTGGGTTAGAGCAAGCACGTGCTCGTTCCGTTTCGATAATGGATGTCTGTTTCAGGAAATCAATATTATTTATCACCCTTCGCAACGTTTCCACGGGTAAATCTTCACCACCCTTAAACAAACCGATTACCATTTTTTATCCTTCTTCTTTTTACAGAACTCGAATGTTAGAAGACCGGGAAATTGCATTTTCTAAACCGTTGTGGGGAGCACTGTCTTCTGCGCAATTTTATCGGTCCTCTTCAATGAATAATCTGAATACATCGCTCGGGTAATGTATCTAAAAATATTCAATTATACATATAAAATAAATTCACTATTCCAACCACTCGATACTTCCAAGATGGCGGATGATGTCGGAAGTATTTTAGCTAGCTACTTTTTTTAGTAACTTTCAAATTTATCGGAGTTTCTGCTAGCCTCCCGGAGTTAAGTTAAATGCTAAGTAACGCACTTCATACGCTCTAAGTTAGGGAAAATATCACTGTTTAATTACTTTACAGGGTTTACCCAAAGTCGGGGTACTCCTCACCCGAATATTCGGACACTTTACAAGTCAGCGTGGAAACACCATTGACAATCACATTGCAATTGATATATATATATATATTAACTTAACTCTTGTCGAATTTTCATTATCAGGCCCAGAGTTTCGGGGAATTTTATCGGAAAATCTGTGATATACCACTGACTTGATCCATCATTCAAACAAAGCACACCTGATGGATATGGAAAAGTTCATGAAGCACTCTCGGTGCATTCGGTCGTTCGCACTTACATTAGTAAGTAAAGACTAGCTTATGCTGTAAGGACTCGCATATATTGTCTTCACAGGGTCCGTATTATAAATTCATCCAATCGATTACAAATACGAACGTGTAACCACTCATTAATCGAGTCGTTGAATCTGCAAGCGGGGAAGAAAAAGGAAATTTTCTCATGTTCTAAAAAGTGCAAGGGCTGTTCCATTTAAATATAAAATCTTTAAGTTGTGCATACTGATTGCATGACAAGTGCATTAAGTGTCTTTGGCTATGTCGATTGCAGTTCGCAACAGCCGTGACATGTTAACCGATGTGAAACTCGAACGTACGAATTACACATAACAATGAGCAATTGTTACATAATAGAAAACACGCATTTAAGTCGAATGCACAGATACATACGTGTATAAAATACGCATTTAGTCAATAGTTGCGTCTTGTACGTGATACATGTATGTCTTGTTCATTCTACGGTCGTACATTACATTTCTTATTTACACCACGCATGCATAAATTCTACATGGCAAGAATTTAATTTAAGAACCAAACGTGGATGTTGTAATAATAATTTCACGCGGTGAAGAAAATGTAATCCTTCGACGTTACGTTCGAATCAAATTTTTTTGCTTACTTCCATTTGTGGAATGGGCTATTTTGTATGTACCTAGTAATTGTAGCACACATAGTTTCGAGGGAATTGACGTCGCGTAATTCTAAGTTAGTTGTCATTGAAATAATTAGTAATGGATTTAATATTTATACGGGAATCCGTTTGCAGACTCAGCGACAACGTTAAGCACGTGCTACGTCCGATAAACAATATTGCTGATTACGTGCCAAGTAATGTCCAGTCACACGCATTGTTCAAACATAATCTCTCCCGAATAATGTTTTTGAGCGAGTGCACGTTATTGATCGTATAACTTTGTTAACAAATAGTTCCTTCATTGTCTGAACGTCCAGGAAGCTTCGTTGTATCGTATTCCTTGTAAACATTTAAGTAACAAACTGGCAGTAATGTTATACGAACTAGAAATTAAGACACTATCGTCCAGACAACAAACACACCGAACACGAAGTTGCAAAATCAGTGAAAAATTAAGCGTGTGATATTTACAAGTTTGTGCTCGTGTAAGCAAGAAGAATAATCGAGGAACTAGCCGGTCGTCTTTTTTGGCTAGTTAAGTCAATTCTGAAAAAGAAATGAATTATCTCTTTGTTGAATTACAATCCGTTGCTTCGAACTTAAAAATTAAAGGACCGCCATGAAAATAAAATTAACCGTTTATAATCATCGTGGAACGTTCTACGATCAATACGAGCAAATCGTCCAGGAACAAGATTCCGAAAGAGAGAAGCATTTGATTATTATTTCGTTTAATAACTGATTGTTGTTCGGATGCGTCGAAGTTATCAAACGCAGTCGCCGTTGCCTTACGCTAGCCTTAAATAATATTTACAATGTCAAGGGGCCACTGCCCGTAATAAGGCAAAAATCTAGATTTATTGTTTAACCTATTATTGCGTGCCTCGGTCGAAAAGGACCGAGTTTACAGTAATTAATGCATGCGCTACGCACTGAAATGTTTCGCGAGGAACAACAATTTCTGCCGAGTTGCTACGCTCGAAGGGAAATCATTTACTGATTCGAGATGTAATTGTCCTTAATTATGGTACCTGTCGCGTAATTCGGGGAGAGAAACTAGGAAGACGGTATAAAATTAAAATTCATAAAACCTGTGTATTCGTTGTCAAACGCGTCCTGGGAGTACTATACAGTGATCGATAACGCTAATAAAAAGTACCAACAATCGTTCGGTTCCCGTGAAATCATCCTTAACACCTTGAGTACCGGCACCGTCAGGACATTTTTCGAAGCCGAAGAGGTCCTAGAAGAGGAGCAGACGTCACGAGGCGTCGGGGTCCCTCCGAGCGCAGCAAAGTCCAGCTAATAGGTTAATCAATAGACGTACTCATTTGCCTTTGGTAGCCCTGACGGCCTTGCAGATCTTGATCCACGGGTGCCCGGAGGAACTGCAAATGTCACAGACGGTGGAGGAGCTCGAGGACGAGGAGGGCTGACTAGCGGTGTGGCCGGGTGTGCTCGGCGAGGACGAGCCCTCCCTCTTGGTCGGTTGCTTGCACGAGGAGGAAGACGAGGAGACGAGCTGGAGGGCGTCGGCCGAGGAGGGCAGGGAAGCCGGGCCCCTGATCTTGTGGGAGGCCGGCAAGGTGGCGGAGTTGTAGGACGAGTTCGAGGAGGGCAGGATCGAGGGCGAGGGGCTCAAGGATGGGCGCTTCGGCTCCAGGATGGACCGGCCCGAGGGCGACGAAAGGCGCATGCAACGCAGAAGGTTGAGTCAATCGTTGAGCAGACCCTGAGACACGTTGATCAGCTGTTCCTTCAGCACGCGGAAAGATGGCCGCACCTCCGGGCAGTGGGCCCAGCATTTTCTCATTACCTGGTGAAGAACATCACGAAGAACATTTGGAGTCAACAATTTCTAGGAGTCGTTCACGGCAAAGAGTGAGAGGTTGGCCTCGCTTTTGACTACTTCTCACATTTTATAATAACGTTGGATGCAGGACGTAAAGTAAAGAGGCATTGAACGTAAAAAATTCTTTAAAGGCTTTAAACGGAGAACGTATCGGGTCTGGAACGAAAGTACCCCGGCTGCGATAATTTTAAACAGCGGTGTATAATTATACGAACCTCGTACACTTCCTTAAAACAAGCCTTAGGTTTCTCCAGAATGATTCCTCGTTGAACCCGCTCGACCACCTCGGTGTTCTTTAGACGGCCATAGGGCATCCTCCCGCAGGTGAACACTTCCCACATGAGAACACCATAAGCCCAGACGTCGGATTTCGAGCTAAAGCGAGTATAGTTGAGAACTTCCGGTGGTGCCCACTTAATCGGGAATTTGGTGCCTCCGCTGCTGGTGTATTGGTCATCTAGCACGTACCTTAATAAGTACATACAAAATGTATAAACGGCCATCACAATTTCCGGGAGTTCCTGGCAAGTAATTGATAAGGTCTAAACTCGAAGAGAAATTACCTAGCCAGACCGAAGTCTGCAACTTTGACCACGTTCTCGGAGCCAACCAGGCAGTTTCGTGCCGCAAGATCCCTGTGAATGTAATTGTGCCTTTCCAAGTACGCCATTCCTTTGCAGACCTGGAACCAAGGTACATTTTACGGTTTCGAACGATTCGATACACCTAGTATGGAATAGTTTCACAAACGAAACCCAGATGTCGCCTCGGCACAACTTTAAATGTTACCTGTATGCACATATCCAGCAGAAGACCAACATTAGCGCCAAGAGTCGCTTCATGACGTCGGAGGTAGTTGAGGAGAGATCCATGTCGCATGTATTCCGTCACTATGTATATTGGCCTATCCTTACTGCAAACGCCATAGAGCTGGACTAGGTTTTGATGCTGTAGTTTCCTGAAAGCGGAACCATAAGCCGTTAGCACTTCGACTAAAAACAGAAGAGGTAGTTATTCTACATTCAATCCTCATAGCGCGAGTACCATCTGAATAGTTACATAATTATGCTAATAACCTCGCCGGTACTTCCTGAATGGGACTTTAAAAAACGTCGTTTTACCAGGTAACGAGTCTCTTAATTAATGCGCCCGTTGACGCTAATGATCCTGGTGATACTCATCGTCGAGGGATCATCGAGCAATTTAATTTTGAGTACTTTTGCGCGAATTCTATGGTAGAGACGGTGTCCTTAGAAACTCATTTAGGACGCCACTATTTTTGGCTTTTCTACAAAGCTGCATTTCAAGCACTTCTAACAGTGCAGGTTTTATGTCGTGGAGCATTTACGTCACGGACTATTCTCTGGTACCGGAACAACCGACAAGGCATGTCATTCCTCGCATGTAGATGACTATTTAGGGGCAGGGAAGGTTCCTGGTCGTCACATTGCCGTTCATTTAACACGGTGACGGACACGATAAAGCGAACTACCTCGCTGCGGACCATGATGAGCCGCATGACCAGGACTGCTCATGATTTCCCGCCCAGGGGAACGACATCGATCAATCGACGCTAATGCGCGTCTCCATTAAATATTTAAACCGTTAGGAATGTTTATAAGGACCCTTTATAATTCTTATCGACCTCTTCCAGGATCCCTGCCCGACCAGTTGAGGGAGGAGATACTCACGTCATCACTTTAGCTTCCTCTATGAAGTCGTCTTCCGACATCGTGCCTTCCTTCATCATCTTGACGGCCACGTCGATGGAACCTCGCCACTTCCCTCTTCGTACGACCCCAAATTGCCCCGAGCCAAGCTCTTCCAGAAGGTGAAGCTCCGCTGGGTCAATCTCCCATTTGTCTGAAAGTTAAACGCGTAGATCATTTTTATATGTTAGAAAAATAAGCTGGGAAGTGCGGCTTTGCGTTCGGTGACGAGTACTGGGTGCACTTGGCATCATCAGCAAGCAGAAAACCCATCGGAATGGGGATGGCTGATACCAACCGTGGCTCAGTCCTGCGGTGGGTGGTACCGGGCGGTCGCAAGGGCTGGTTTTCAATCGGCTGGCTAATCCCCCGCTGTTGTGCCTGTGATAATTCACAAGATCGGGAATGGAACCGCAGCAATGCTTCTCCGAGAGGTAAAACTCCCCTCTGGTATTCTGCTTGATGTGGTAGTGCTTCACGTGGGGGTGCGGTCTGCAAGTTGCGAGGTATTATTAATTAAGTTCCGCGACCAGCCTCAAAATTAATTACCAGGCTCTGAATTCATAAAATAACGCGGTACACTGTCGGCTCGTAAAGAAACATTTTTCCGTCTCCTTGAACAAAGACGAAATACGTAATGGAATAAAAATACATGACCCGCTTCGTGTTTTTAGCCGTATTAATTCGAGCATAATCAGGGATGCGTTTAGAGGCAGATTGCGGCCTTACCGAGCGACACTTACACTTTTGTGTAGAGGGAAAGCGTGTAGAGTCCCTTCGTCGAAGAATTGCGCACGACAAAGCAACCTTCTTTGTCCTCCTGCTTAAGCAACGACTCGGCTCGCTGGCGCGACATGTCCCCCACGTACCATCTGCAAAATAGAAATGCATTTTCCGTTTTTAAACTCCCACTGCCCGGTTGACATGCTCAATCTATTCGAGGTACCACCTATTAATTAGAGTGCATCGCCGCCGTTTCGGCGCTTTTACGCAAATGTGCGCAATTTTCCCCGACGCCGAGGGATACTTTGCATCGGGACCGATTCGGAACTGGTCGCGGTGAATTTCGAAAATTTCCCGTTCGATCCCACACCAGGAAGAACGTTTTCATGTAATGACGATTTACCGGGTGCGCAGAAACCATAGGGCGAGTTAAGCGCCCCGAAAATGCGGACATTCCCTTATATGTATATTTAACGCATGTCGACGGATTTTTTCCACGTCGACCCTTAAACTTACCTCCCTAATCTTTTCTATACATTCACGTTATAAAATTTGACAGAAACTTCGTACACCCGGTTCGGAGGAAAACTTCATAAATTAGACCTCTGACGCGACTTTCGCATCGCCTTAACGAATTATTGTTTCCGCGGTGGTGGAGATTTAATTTTTTTTCATTCCATCGCTGGCGATGTTGAATACTCTTTTCTTTTTTTTCCCCCAGTATTATCGGCAATTAGATCGCGAAATTATTGCTGATTGCTGTGGATGCGAGGAGGCCAATTACCGCCTTGTTCCGCGCAGTGATAACGACTCGCGGGACGCGACAGATTATCTCGGCGTTAATAACTACGAGCTACGGTCATTCCGACGGAACGTTAACGTCGAAATGCCGCTTTGCGTGGCGTTCACTTTAAATCGTCGGCGCGTATTATATCCCCGCATTATTCTCCCCGAAATATCCCGAGTTTAAAACACGCGCTCGTCCATTTTGCCGCTCCTCGTGCGTGAAATCGCGAGCGCCGCGCGTGAGCGTAATCGCGGCCATTATTCGGGTATTTCGGGAAAGTGATCGCCACCTGTGCTCCGAAAACTGGGATTTCCGGTCATTTGTCCCGTAGGACACAATGCTAAGGATAATTACATCCGTCGCGCCGATATTTAGCGCCTTTGGTTGCGCAGGTCGGAAATCCGCGGGTCGCCGAGACTTGTCTTTTAAATCCATGGGGATGGGAGTTTGAATATGAATGTTTATTAGGACTGGGATTACGAACAATTATCATCTCATGGTTGAAAAAGAGAACAGCCTTAATATTTCCTGTGTTAGGCCAAATATGCCCGGAAAGCAAATTCCAAGGACGGGAAAAACGAAAAGGGAAGGCTCGCGATGGAATCGCGAATGATTAATGCTCGTCTCGTGGTTTCGAAGGGATGCCACTCTAGCCTGCAGAGACTCGCGTTCGATAAATGGAGACTGATAAAAACGATATGCGCCTGGGGTGTTAGGCGATGGGTGTTGGGAGGACCACGGCTATAAATCACTGCTGAATGTCCCACTTATAGGTTAGGAAAGGTCGGCGCGTTCGGTCCGGAAAAACTCCGAGCACGCCCAAGGTGAATATTTCAAGCGACCCTGCGATACCGGAAAAAAGCTCTTTTCTTTCTCGGCAATTCGATGCTTTTCCGTCAACCCCGGGGATATTCTTGAAAATTTCGCGCAATCCCTCGACGTTAATATCCAATTCTTGCGAATCCAACGTCCCGATAGGTATGTCACTTGTAATTACTTACTCATACTTTTGAAGACCTAAAAGCTCCTTCTCCTTTACGTAATTACTAGGAATGTATCCGATCGATCTGAAAGCAGAAATCAGGATTTTCAAGGCCTTCGGAAGTACTCAACGAAAAGTCTAGAGAGGATAGAGAGAAATATCGGAAAATCCACGCGGCGTCTCTTTGGTTCTTTAAAAATGGCGGGCGATATCTCGAAGAAGTCGGAAGGTCCCCTTACCCGTGCTCGTCCTTGACTTTCCACCAGTGCTCCTGGGAGTCATCCAACACTTCGTATTCCGCGCCCTGAAATGCCAAAGTTTCCATCAGTTGCAGCTGCAGAGACCCTGCGGAAATATTCGACTAGGTGCACGAGTGCTGCAGGGGGGATTTAGTTTTATTCGAGGGTGGAGGGTACGTTTCCACTTCCTGTCCTCTCCCCTTCGGCACTTTCGAGTGTCTCAGAGTACACCATTGTTCCAATGCAATATTCTCTGCTGCTTCCTTGTTAAAAAAGTACTTCAAATATCCCGAGAAAAACCATCGCAATCTTTTCTATCATTTTTAAATCCCATCTCGACTCTATCCAATACCCTAAACTCTTCCTGACATTTCGTCGTTTTTTCCTCAGTGAAGACACTTAGGCATAAAATTGATACAATTGTTTGTTAATAAAGACCGACCTTTTCAAGAGATAAATCCCCTCCCTCGATGGCTCGGAAAGGGTAGAGAGCCACGACCACTTTTGTCCTCATCATCAGTTTGTCCTGAAAAGCACAAGGCACTTTTCAAAGCCATTTAATCCAAGCTCTTCGAGTCTCGATATTTAAATTTTCGTAATGGAGGAATAACCGCATTAGCATTGAATTAATAAAAAGGGGTGCGTCTATGGTATAAAAAATAAATTATCGTGGATTTTACCTTGGCCTTGGAAGATGGTGTCCCAGGGGCACCGCCTGGCATTATTGGCGTGGACGGGGTGCCTGCAACAAACGACAATTTATTTATTTATTAACCCCCTGGTAACGTTAATGTAAATTGAACGGTCTTATCCATGCTCGCACATATTCAAGCGATGAATGAAACGATGTCGTTTATGTTATTTCCACGTTTCAGGGGATTTAGTTATTCATTAATCAGACGTCACGGACTCTCCGTGACTTCAACTACTACGGCAACTTCACGTGGGTTTTCATCCCTTCAAAGCGGATCCGACCGATGAGTTTGTATTAAATTGGCTCCGAGGAAAGTTGCAAAAGGTCTTTGCGGTTAGGAGCCCTCTCATTGGGCTTTAAATTATTCCCCGCGACGTCGACGTAAACGGCGCCGACAAAATAATCCTACCTCGCGAAGCCGTTCTTCAATAAGCGCTAAACCCTTTCCTTTGGCATCTTCGAAATCACTGACGATACCAACTACATATACGCGAGCTTCTATAAATACGTATATATACCCGAAATAGGGTGAAAGCCGATTAAAAAAAGAAATGGCCACTTTCGAAATTAGATGGAAACGCCACGAGGGGAGCTTTTCATTGGAGCTTTCTCTGGAAGACCGTGGGTCATTACTTTCGAAAGAGCAATTCGCACGAGAATGGCTGCCAAGAAGAGTAGCACCTAAGTACTTTTAACCCCCTCGTTCGGAGATTATAGGAAACTTGATTGTCGAGGATACCGGAGGCCCTGGAGAGCACTTCTCGTAGCAATAGTCCAGCCTTCGATTCCACTTCCTTCTGATAATGGCTTCACGTGTCTTAACACGGGTAGAGGGAAGCTTAACATTTCAGAGTGAAGGAAATTCATTACCAAAGGATCGAAGAAAAATCTCCCAGCTAGATATACAACATTGTTTTATATTTAATGTGCAGGCTATGTGGAAAGTCTTGACACTAATTAGTTTGCGATCGGCAAAATGGGGTGTTGCAAACTTTTGTTCAGGGTCTGGGGGACGAAGGGATCTTCTGGTCGACCTGGTGATCCGCGAGGGTAATTTTCCTCGGCGGAAGCTACACGAGAATTCCACACCCCTCCTGAATCGCCCTGTATAATGACTGGGGAAAGTTGGAACTCTCTCTAACAGATTCCAACTCTCAAATTAGGGACTGTTAGCGAGCAGAGACAGAACCCCCTGGAGCCACTCGTAGGCACCGATGTGACTAATGAGAAGTTACTCGATTTCGAGGCAGTCGGATCCTGTTAAACAAATTCCGATTGGACGTCACGTTCAACACGGTTCTTCCAACATTTGCATTTGCAATCGATTCGCGTCCGGCTTGTACAGGGTGTCTATATTAAGGGCCCATGAAAGTGAGGTCCAAAGGATCTCGCTAATAGAACTTTCCTCCATATTGGATATACCGAATCGCTTGAGACATTACAACGCGATGACTGATTTTATTTAATTATTCCATCCACCTTGAATTTACATGCACCTGGATTTACATGGATCATCCCAAGGATGATATGCAACGGCCTTCGAGACGGTTTCTTGGTCGGCTCCATGAGAACGGCAATAAAATTTCTTTTTCATGAAAATGTCGGGTCGGATGCAATTTTCTTGGCAAGACACGGTCTGACTTAGGCGGGAAAACGAGGCGAATGCACCCGGTGCGGTGCAGAGCGCCATGCAAATTGCACATGACTGGCTTGACGAGCATGTCGTCGAGGTTGGCGAGTGGGGAGCAAAATAGGAAAAAAGTCAACTCTGTGGAATCATGAGGACGCGGTCGCATGCGCCATTACGCGACCGGGATAAATTCATTCCGAGGCGGACAAGTTCCGAAATCAAGCCAGCGAAACGCAGGCGGAAACGCCGGACGAAGCCAGACGGCTTGATTGCATTACTGGAAATATCTGTTGCAGTTGCAGTTGCCATTAATGAGCTCAGATGCCGGATTCACCGTGAATTTCCTCCCCGAGTTTCGCGGGAGGAGAAGAACTTCAACCAAGCGAAGTCGCTGGGATTTCCGCGGTACCTCGAAAATACGGCTACATAAATTAATTACATTCCCCATTTCGAGTACCCACCTCTACTGCCGTTGGTGAACATTCCCATTGTTACTTAACGTCAAGTCTAAAAAGTCAAATCACCAAGTTACTCATCTCAATTTCTTTCTTTAATTCGAGAGGGAAATTTTGCGGTTTTTTTAATTTTTCTTTTTTTTCCTGGCGTGTAGACCTCGGGATTAATATTTGCTGGTTGCAGCAAAGTGTCGCGGGTGTTTTCCTATTTACGTACTTCCGTATTTACGTGTCGGGAGGGCTTAAGTCACGCGTGATCTAGTTTCGAGCAGGAAGACACGAGTGGCGGCCGAAGTGCGCTGAAGTAGGCCAAGGGGGGTTAACGAGACAAAGAACCTACTCGTCGCTTACACGTGTGTCGGGCCTGAGTGCAATCACGGAGCACCTACTTTTTTTTTCCCCCTTCCTTTTCCCTCGTGGTACAGCCGACAGATTAATTTTAGAGGATCCGCCGAGGGATATTAAGTGCAGCCATCGAAGGAAAAAACGAATCCCCTCGCGTGGATGCTCGCATTGAAAAAACAATTTCGCAACTTCCCTAGGGAACCTCGAGGAAAGAATTTCCGATTTGCTTAATCGCATTAGAGTCCGTTTACCCCGGATCATGTTTGGTGCTCAGACACGTGAACATACATTTTTTTTATTTGACCATTACAAATGTTTTCAGATTTGCGTATAAAACTCGTGATAGGAACGTTTTAATTCCTCTAACAATTCGAACGAGGAGGCAATGAAAGAAAAAAAGTGCAGGTATGGAAAAAAAAAAGAAAAAGAAAAATGATGCTTCACTGCAAAAAGAGATGCACGCGGAGGAGATTTTTCGCATTTCTGTCAACGGACGGGAAATCCGGGGAAAATGGAGGAAAATCCGCGGGGAAAAGGGTTGCGACTGAAAATTCGCGAAACAATATCCTCCGATTCTCTGCCGGCGGAAACGAAGGGATATAGAGAGAGGAGAGAGAACATCTTGCATAGAGAGTGGAAATTCCCAGGAATTTCTCTAATTCCCTATCGGCTGATATTATATGCAGATATCGGGAAAAAAATGAAGAAGAACAAAAAAGAGAGGTAGAAAATCGCTTCCCGCGTTTCCGAGTCGCGCTCGTGAAATAAAACTCCCTATAGGCGGGAACGAGGTGTAGGTGTCAAAAGGAAAAAAAAAAAGAAAAAAAATCTCTCCCTGCTTCGCGAGGGGAGAATTCCCGAAATGGAATTTTCTAATCCCCCGCCAACGAGTGGTGAATGCAAATATCAAAGAATGGGCAGAATTTATTGCCAGAATGGGAACAATATAGAATAGATGACCAACGCCCTAGATATTGCCTACCTACTAAGTAAATAGACCATTTAATTCACTCTAATCACTTTTCCCACATTTAATCCAGATAATGAAAAATCCTGGCGATGCCCCAACTGCATCCGATAGGCCAGATATTTATTTCTTTTTGCCAAGAATCATTTTATTGCCGGAAAATTTGTCGCATGGACGTGATGAGTGGAATTACCGAAGCCATCGGGAAAATTCGGTGCATACATTTCTACTGCATCGCGATGCATTTTTCCTCGAAAATCCGGCGTGGCCCGCGCGAGACTCACAATCGGTCGTTACGACGTTATGAAATTATTCAAATATATCATGTCCAACAAATTTCGGCCGAATCAATAGGTGCTCCCGTGCACTCGGGGTTTTATGGAAAGTCGCCGCCGATAGGGCATGCGTTCATGCAAATTGCGAGGTACGCGGTGCGCCGCCTCATAAATACAATGCGCTTATAAATGATAAAGTTAACGATCAATCCCGAAAGTAACTGTCTCGATTTGTTGAAATCGAAGAATTGGGAATTCATGGAGAGACATTTCGTTGCCGGGGTAGGAGAGGAGCGGAAATGGAGGTTTCAAAGATTAACGCCGTTCGTCTATAAAATATCCCTCGGCCATATCGAACGGCAATTATCGCGCACGTTTATCGAGAAAATATCCCCGGTCCGTTTTCAACAATTAAAACGTACGTTTATCGAGGAAATATCCCTGGGCCGTTTTCAACAATTAAAACGCAGGTTTATCGGCAAAACATGCGCGCGCATCGGCATTTCCGTGGCCCCGGGCACTTTGGCTAGCGCACCGTCATCGATTCTTCACGAGCATCGGTTAATCGGTTAATCGAGGCCGCATTAAGGATTCCAGTGGCCTAATTCAATTTGGTCCATTAGAAGGCATTACCGAGGAGCGGTAAAGTATCGGAATGCGATCCCGGCGTTGCAATTCGATTGAGCCGCCGAATTCCCTAGGCAGGTGTTTCATATACACGTATATAGAAATGTATATATCCTCGGAATCGATTCCCCTCGATTTAATTGCAGCCGACGGATCGCTCCGGGAAAAAGGAACGGTCCACGACTGTCGATAACCAGTTCGGAAACGGCGGGGCCGATGGCCGGCGACGTCTGAAAGCCCGAGGAAGATCTATCACCCCGGGAAGCGCTCCCAAGGGGTGCACGAAGTCCGAATTTCATTTCACGAGTGAGCAGTCGGCTGAGAAACCCAAGGATTTATGCCCCGGACCAGACTTGGCGGCCAGCTAGTCGCTTTATCTTCCGATTCGCGCTATTCGGTACCACCTTAGGTCAGAAGGATAACGTAAGGATCGGCTCGGACTCCCGCGACGGGAGGAGAAACGTCCAGGCGGAAGAATGCTGCATTCGCGATTTCTGACCGATTTTATCGGGATTTCGGACAAAGCTGGTGTACCGTTTCCTTTGGAAGAGGGCGTATTGTCCTTCCCTATCGAGAAGCCGGCTCTAAAAGTGTGTCTAACGAGGAGGAAAATTGCTTCCTCTCCGAGAGGAACCGAAATGATATCTGAAACGGAGACAGATTATCGCCGACTCCAGGTCGGCCGTATCCCGGAGAATCCGTCAGCAGGATATTAAACCTTTTCAATTCCTCTCAAAGGGGTCTGGGAT